TTTATTGGAACCTATCACTGTGGAAACGACTGTCTTTTCTTTTACTGCGATTCTAATATCTAATCAGACCAATGATCACTTGAGCTAGTCTTCAGATGAATAATGACAAATTTACACTTCTCAGCGGAAGAAGAAGGCTGGGGGCACACTCTAACTTGAAAATTTAATGGATAATACTTTGATAACTCCTGACAATTACACGACACTTCAAAGTTTGATATCTAGCTCCCGCTTCTAAAACTAAAGGAAGAGGCAGGACTAAACTGTCTCGTCCCTAGCTACTTGTTTTCTGCATGTTTTAAATTTTTTGAGTCTATTTGTATATTTTTGTTTGAGTAGTACTGTACTTGGTATCGTATGGGTAGGGTGCCTTCATTGGGCCCTCTCATACAACTTTTATGTTTTATCCTATTTCACTAAAATCAGCCATTGGGTTTTTCAAAACAAAATATAGAAAAATCTCAAGGGCTAATATATTAAAGAGGAAAAGATACAAATAAGCTGTTTGAGTGGGTCTAAAAGAAGGCCCAACGCACACAATACAACACACACAAAATTCTAAATAAAGCAAAGATATATAAAGATAAAAAACTAAAAATCACCAGCGGGCGCAAAAGCACTAGGGACATCCTGCTTTTGTCCTCTCTATCTCTAGTTCTCGGAAGGGAGCCGATTAACAAATTGGTAAGGTCCGTACCATTACCCGAAGTAACCGAAGTATCATCCATCAGATTCTTGAGCTTGAGTAGGTAACCATTCTTGTTCTTTCTCCTGGATGTATAAACCTGTTATTCCTCAGCCTAGGATTAACTCGTCTGATCAATGGATTGATCCAAAGGTGGTCGGACATGTGCAGACTGTTGCACATTATGATCCCCATGAGCCCGAGTCATTAACATTTTGCTCGATTTGATGAAACGGTAGTGAAGCAGTAGAAGTATTGTCACATGTAATATCAATGATAAGTTCTAGAGCATGTGGGGTCTGAAGAATCTCCCTCGCCCCCACGATAGGAGGTTCCAAATACGGGGGAACTACAACATTATGTGGAAGACTGAATGGTTGACATATTGCCTGCGATGATAGTGACGTCTTCATGGATATTCTTTTGATAATTAATAGTGTCAATAACTTGGAACTGATCAGGATGAGATGGATTCACTGCCTCTGGCGGAGCACTTTGCTTTTTTGGTATGAGGGGGGTGTAGATGGTAGCATTGAGAACTGAAGTGACCGAACATATGACAGTTCGAACAATAGGAAGGAAAATGCTCAATCACTACCTTTTGCCAATATCCATGGTATTGTGTGCCCAACGAAATTTTCTCAAAAGCGGTTGAAGTGTTGTCTCTTTCAACAAATACTTTGACTTCAGATGAACAGGAAAGATTAAAAATAGGAATGTCCGTTTTGAGTGGCTTATCATAAGCCGAGACAATGAAGTACAACACTTTTTGAGTAAAATAATGAAATTTCAGACCAGAGAGACGAATTCAAATCAGAATGATTGGTGGTTCCGTTTGTGGGTCAAAATTCACAGACCATTTCAAAATCTTCATTGCTCTGTTATCAATCCAAATTATCCTTTTAGCAAATAATCGCGTGTAATCCTCTTCATAATTAAGTTGAATAAAAATGAGTTTTATATCTAAAAGTCAAAATTTTCACTCCCCAATAATGTACATAAACTCAAATTCCTTATGAATAAGCTCCGTTTTGGGATAACCATACAGAAATTTTCCGACCAAATTCAGACGATAGGAGGAAGCAATTTGAATACTTTCAGCTTCTGTAAAAAAAATGACAAACTTCACATTCTTCTTACCAGGTTTCTTGATATCTGTCGACCACTCAAACAAATGAGAGAAAAAGCACGATTTAGGAATACCTGAGGCGTGGACACTCGCAAGGGCAGCAGCATATGATCTGTCTGATGCCATCCTCAATAGATGAAGGTGCCGCATTAAGAATAATGAAGCAAGTAGAGAGCAAATTACGATTCCAGAACAGGGTGCAACGATTCGAGCAGTCGCCGCAGCAGCAGACAGAGAGGAAGGACTGCGAGCGACAGCAAAGAGACGCTCCCGATCCTGAGGATTTCTTGGGACGACGGCGAGCCGCTAAAGAAGCCCGCGCCCCGATGTCCTTTAAAAACCAACGGATCGCGAGAGGCAGCTTAGGTGACTCCTCTGAGCCCGACGAATTCAGAAAAAGAGAGCCGCTGATTGTCGGGACGAGGAACAAAAAGAGCCGTTGCGACGCGACGGCGAAAACTGGCGAGGAAGACGAGAGGAACAAAAGACGAAACAGTGCTTGATCGACGAAGATACAATGAAGCAAAAAAACCAGAGTTCATCATAGGAGCACCTTAGCAGAGCAAGAGCAAGGTCGACGAAGCCATCATTTCTATATCTATATATATATATATA